AATATGTTAGATCTCTAAACATTCTCCATATTGTAATATCAAATCTGCTCTTGATCAAATGTGTTAAAAATATGAATTTGTGGTGGACAGGTTTTTTTTTTTTTAAGGCAGTTGTTAGCTTTACTTACTGACAGTAATCTCCAATTTCCAGTATTTTCAGGTCTTTTATTATATCTTAAACTATCATGTAAAAGCATTTTTGAGGAATTAATTGTATCTTATATTGTTTTGAATAATTAAATTCTGTTTTAAATCTTAAGTAAATGTCTTTTTGATGCTTATCATACCATAAGTTTTTTACGGCTGTAAAACATTTTCCGTAAAATTTACGAACAAATGGCTGGCAGCTAGGTTGCCAATCTTTGGACGTAATTTTTACGACATGTTCGTAAAAATATATTTACGGTGTGTCGTAATTTTTACGTACATTGGTTGGCAACCTAGCTGCCAGCCATTTGTCCGTAAATTTTACGGAAAAAGTTTTACAGTGTAAAGACCACTTAAGATCAAAAATCTAAATTTCATGTATGTATAGCCCATGGTTACTATATCAACTTTACGGCAAGTTCACACCAATCTGATTAAAATTAAGTCCGCTGTTAACGTTTAAGTATCCGACACGCCAAAACGCTTTTCGATTTTTTAATTACGACCTTAATCCGGTTGATTGGCTGGTGACGTCACAGGCACTACACATAGGATATACATTATCTATACAATATTTACCGTATGTACAATATAGCACACGGCAACTGGGCAAGCGTCTATTGACGGTCCAATTACCACGTGACTGGCCTAATCATAATCACCGAATTATCGTCTTTCATTGGTATAGATTAGACATTTGTGATTGGAATATTTTAGAGTGAATTTAAAATGCCGTATCATGCCGTAGATCAATTTAAGCTGCCTTTGTTTAAATAGGCCACGTGTCAAATGAAGATGACTCAAGAAATTAGCGCATTTACCGGTAATTTGGATAACCCCGTAATACTTGATATCCCAAACTTAAGTACAGAAATACAAATGGTGCCAGTCATTTGTCGATATATTCATTATTAGCTATATATAATAATAATAACCATTTCTATACATAAAGAACAACTACAGTGAATATGGAATTTTCCGATGACTATGCATAACATGTACAATAGATCGCACTCATTTCTCTGCCAATCAACGCTTGGTATCTTATTATCATGTACCGTTCCATGTACTACGGGTGTAGTAAATGAGGTTAAACTTCGCCGCGAAAATTGCACGGGATCATTCGTGGAGTTCCTGGTGCCGTTTGGTGAGTGATTAAACTGTCTATGCTGCTGTTGTTGTTGTTGTTTATTACAAATTTAACGTCCAATACATAATGCATGATATTATGGACAGGTTGATTTGATTAAGTTATTTACTTAAATAAAAAATAGAAGTTAGGTAAAAACACTAAATAATAAAAAGTTCTTGTATATCTAAACGTCACTTTAAAACAGATTTAAAATAATTAAAAGTTCTTGTATATCTAAAAATCACTTTAAAACACGGTTGTCGTGGGAAGAGCGGGCTGGTCATCTTCTCACTTTGTCATAATGAAAGTTAAAATAGGAGATGCAATTGTAAAATACTTTTATAATAAAGAAGATAACCCATGTTAGACATTATAACCTAATCGTATCAAAAACGTTAATCCATCCATCAATTAAATGTTGTTTAAACGCCAATCAACAAACAATACGAGGCTACTTGATTACAAAAACACCGGTGAGCAATAATTATTGGGTATATAGTAATTTTAAACAACTTAATTTATTTTATACAATTAATGTGTGTGTGTATGATTCTACCATTAGTTCGTTCGTGAGGTATTACGCACACGTTCCACTGAGAGTGATGTCTTTGATCTGGCCGGCGTAAAAAAAGATAATTACCTAATCAACATTCTTAATCCCACTAACACTCACTGCTAACACCAACTTGAAATTAATTTATGACCCATGCCTGTATAACTTTTATAGTCGGATTGATTAATTAATGACAGATATTAACGACACTACACTTTATGTGGAAAAGCGAAGTGCTCGCAGTAAAAACCACATAACTGGACCCGTATATTTTTTACATATTAAAAGTGTTCGTCCAATAAGTTCCATATTGTAAAAAATTAATTAAGAGTTCAGGACTTCAAAGTTTAAAAGTTGTAGGCACTCTAAATTGGATCTTAAATTAAAATGAATTACAAAACAAATTATTCCGTAGTCAATTGTTTTATTTAATTAGGGGGATTATATAGGTAATTAAGGAATAAACATTCCGAAAGCTGTGACACGTCACTGTGACGTCACTGGCGTCTGAGGGGATTAAGAGTGTTTTCGATAATTGGCAAAGCCGTTTTTACGGAAGGCCTATTTTTACGACTTTGAATGAAGATAACTGAATTAATTTCAACCAGATTGGCGTGAACTTGCCGTAAAGTGGATATAGTAACCATTGGCTACACGTATCTCAAATCTACCGGGACCCTCTTATGTGCACTTTAACCGGATTAAAAGGAGTTAATGGGAAAACAATTAACCTGAGTTATAGACAAACAATAATATAAACAGTAGTGAAGAATTTGTTATCAGATTTAGTCACTAAGACATCAAGAAATGGGAGACTGTCACCCGTTTCTGTTTCCATTGTGAATTTTATCCTCGTTTTTCGACTGTTCAGATGTTGGAGTAACTTTTCTGGGTTGTCGTTTTGATTGAGGACCACAAATGCATCATCCACTCTGCGATACCAACAAAGGGGTTTGACGGAGGAAGTCTGTAATGCATCCGTTTCAAAACTGGTCATGAATACTTCAGACAGTAGTGGTTTACCCATAGGCAGGCCATGTATTTGTTGATAATATTCATCACCCCATCTAAAGTAAGTTGCAGTTATACAGAGACGTAGCAGTTGAATGTTATTATCAGTGGTTAGGTTGGTGTCCAGTGGGGTCTCTAAGTCATTGATTTTATTTTTAAGTATTTGGAGTGTCTGAGCTGTGGGGATATTAGTGAACAATTCTACTACATCGTAGGAAAGAATGGTGCCGGTTGATGGGACTGTTGCCAGTTTATGGCAAAAATCGCTGGAGTAGCAATGAAAGACGCAGCTGATTTCGGGAACAAACCAATAAGCGAGCCTTGACCGGGTTCTTGTGAATCTTAATGGTGGCACGTGCATATGGTGATCTGGGGTGAGAGGGATTCTGATTATAGTAGAGTGCTGCTGTGATCTGCTGTTTGTCTTTCAATAAGGTGAGAAGTTTTCGCAGCTTGGTTTCATGGATGACTGTGGGATCTTTCCTGATTCTTTGATAGGTTTTGGTGTCTTGAAGTAAGTTGTTCACGGTATGGTGTCCATAGATTTACCTTTGTCAGCATGGATGATAATGATGTTAGAGTCTGCTTTCAATTCTTTTAGTGCTGGCTGCTGGGATTTGGATAGGTTATTGGTCTGAGGTTTGGTTTTCAAAAGTATATTCGTGATCTGATGCCTGAGGTAATCCACCTTGCCACCTGGTGCCAGTTGACGTAACCCCTACTGAGCGCCATTGAAAACACATCACTTAGTTTTTCGTATAACAAAATGATCCTGTAAACATATCTTATTTATTTTGCTTCTTATTGTGAACAATATTCAAATGGGAACACATCAATAACAACACATTTGTACACTTATGGATGTTTAATCTGTAATCAAGGGTACAAAGTCAGAGGGGTCAAAACCAAAAGTACGACACAGATGTCAGTAGCGCGTGTGTCCTCCACGGGCCATCATCACGGTAGGCTACAGCATTAACGCGACCCCTGCAAATATGTAGGGCGGTCCGGTGATGAAATGTGAAGCCTCCCCACACCATTACACTTCCCCACCCCATCCGTTTCGAAGACGCAGCAGTCTGCAAGACATTCCCCAAGACGTCTTCACACACGTTGACGGCCATCAGCGTGATAAAGATGAAAGGGACTCTCATCACTGAAAAGCACACTTTGCCAGTCTACTCTTCTCCATGTCTGGTGTCCTTGAGCCCATATCAAACGCCGCTGACGGTGATGATACCTGAGGATAGCTCCAACATAAGGTCGTCGTGCACGGAGTCCTATTCTCTTAGACGACGTCTTACGGTGTTGGCACTTACTGGTCCTTGTCTTCCGACGACTGCTGCACCTGTTCGAGTCGCTGGGCGGAATCTGTCACGCAGATGAGTGACCCGGATGTAGCGGTCTTGAGCCTGAGTTGTAACGCGTTGTGGATCAGGACGTTGACGGTCACGTGTTGATCCAGTAACTCGAACACGTTCCACCAACCTTACAATAGTGGACTGATGACAATTGAAGTGTCATAACGGCCAAACAGTTTAGTCATAACCGCCCCTTATTTTTAACAGTGTATAGATTAACAATACATTGATATATTGCTATCGGGTATTTCATTTGGTTGTGCAATCACTAAGTATAGATCTTACTAATATAAATTAATTGCAGGTCATATAATATGATGACTAAAGACCCTATTGATTTCAATTCAATCTAGAAAAAAAATGAAATAAAATTGAAATAAAACTGGGTTATCTACTGTTCTCCATCTCTACTAGGCATGTGCGATGCAACGGGCTACGAGGGAAATTTTGTCCGGACAGCGGCGCTTCGGCAACTAGTTTCCACCTGAATTTGTGTAATGTTCTACACTAGTTGGGTACTATGAGTTTACATGCACCCCACTAACGGCTAGCAGTTACCCCTATTTAGGTGGCAACTAGTTTCCACCCTAATTGGTGTAAACTACCTTATTATTTTTTAACCGTGTAAGCTATTCAGTTTAACGTGTGATAATTTCACCACGGTTGTGAAATATCTTATTCGAGGCCTATACGTGCCTAGATTTCCCGAAATAGCAACGTACGTTGTCTAAAGTGTTCCGTCGTATAAAAGCACCGCATCTGCGAAAACTTTTAGAAAACTCTCAAGCGTCAAACATGCGGTGTCTATTTCTTTTGGGACCAAGGCGCTAAACATTTGAAATCATTTTTGATTTCTACCATACGTATAAAGGGTCGAGGCATTGAAAAGGGTAAGAAATACCAACAGACTGATTTGAGAACTCGGGAAAAATAATATTTCAGCTGAAGGAATCTATGAAGAAGGGGTAAGAACCAACCAACTATTGTTTTTATATGTATATATTGTCGCGATATATTTTATATTTGCTTTTTATTGTAGGATATGTTTTCTTTGTTCGTTACAAATGGAGTGCGAAACCATAGAAATAAACGACTCGTGTGATGATTTTGAAATGTTCATTAGGGCCTATGTCTTAAATGTTGGATAAGATACAATTTTTTCACGGCAAGATAACAACATCAATATTGATTGAAATGGAGCATTATTGAATTTTATTGCGGGTTTTAATTTCAAATTTTATTGAAAATATTGAGTAAGACGTTTAGCCCCTTTAAAGTTTAGCGTGCAGCTGCCATTTTATACTCGGGGTTGTTTCTGCCACTCGGGTTAGATGATCCGCCACTTCACTAATAATATATAATTACTATAAAATGGGGACAAAAAAAAAAAAAAAAAAGAAACTGTACTGATAATACTCTGTTCGTTTTGCTTTTATTTCTGTGTGTTAAAAAAAATCTAACCGATACCAGTGTGAAATATGTGTCAGTTTCTAACTCAAAATTATTAGTTAAATCTTTCGCGCAGACTAAGTAAAACATTGTTTTATTAAATTCATATTGGTTTATGGGTTGGGTGGGGTTGTTTGTTTGTTTGGGGGTTGTTTTTTTTGGGTGGAGGGGTTGGGTACAAAATGAATGCAAAATATATAGGAAAAACATTAATTGCAAGTTGTCCATTTATTTCCCGCCATAAATATCAGTTTTGTTTATTGAAGGATCTAAAAAATTAATTATTTACCGGTTGCTAAAATAAAAATCTTATTCATTGGGGGGGGGGGCGGAACGGTGGCTCCTTGGGTGTTCGATCCCTACATAATATTGCCCGAAAAAGTTCATCGGGATTTTCCGGAGTGGTTCCCACGTCAGTGGTGCAGGACAGAGGGTCTGGCAAGGGACACCGTATAGTTCAATTAGTGAAAACCAAGGCCCGTGTACAGTCCAGGCCCGTAGCAAGAGGGGGGCAAGCCCCCCCCCCCCCGAAAAAAAAATTGCTGACCATAGCTCTAAAATACCTACTAGCGTAGACTGTGCCGGGTGTGCCCCCCCCCCCTAAAAACTTCCCTGCCCCTCCGAAGCTAGCAAGCTGGCTACGGACCTGGTGTAGGTAGGCCACACATTGCGGGCGTGCACGTAAAAGATCCCTTGATTGATTGGAATTCGTTAAAATTATAAATAGGAGTAGGATAGTGCCGCAGTCCGGGCAAAATTTCCCTCATAGCTCACTGTCCATATGAAGTATGTCCGTACATTAGCCCAGTTGGAGCAGAGCAATAGGACGTTAAACCCCATTCCATTTCATTTCCTATTCAGGGGGTTTTGTTTATTAACCTTAAATAGCAACAAGGGGATTTAACTGCGCGAGATTCCTGTAATGGCGCTACCTGTCCCAATACTTATCACTGATTGGTCATATCGCGTTGAGCATGCTCAGACATCCTTTTAGGCACCAGAGCGGAGGATAGTGACACGTTAGTAAGTTGGTCTTTATTAAAGATCTTTAAACCCATTAATTTTTTAATTGAAGCTTGGAATTAGGCACATGAAATATTCGTCAATTTTCACAGGTCTCGCGAAACTATAAAAGATTTTTCGAACCGTGTGTTTGACTTAATAAATAACTAGTATAATTTTTGTTTCGCCATTTTGTAAAATGGAAGACGAATAAACTAACCCACGTGTTGTAAAAATGTATGTGATTAAATTTTGTTTGCATAGTCCAGTTTTTCACTTGTAATTCATTTTACAACCATACATTGCAGCTTTTAAATATCGATTCCCTTTCACATTGAAACTTCAACGATATATCGCTCGATATCAAATTCATATTTCTGCCATACAGGTATTATTTTAGGCAATAAATAAGTGGGAGTGGGGGGAGATTTCTAAAATTATTTTTACAGCAGATATATATTTTCTAGTGCATGTTCCAATGTTGATAAATGATACTTTAATGCTTTAACCTGTGGCTGTGACATGATCATGCCTCAAAACAATCCATTATTATATGTGCCAGATGGACAGATTTGGTTTAAAGTCTCTAACTCAATATCATTCAAAATCTTCAACATTGAAAACACAAATTATTTGTCAATTTAAATCAACATTGATGCTGTGATCTTACCGGAAAGAGATGGGCTTCTGATATCCAATATTTAAGACAAAATAAACATTTTGCCATTGGTACACGAATAGTGTACCATAATGCGTTTCAGCTAGACATATTGCACCAAACCAAACGGCGTATGTAGACTGGAATAACCAGGCCGAGAAATTTGCATTCGATTGAGACTTCGGGCTTATTTCGCGGAACATAACTGATTTGAAACCATTGAATGTATATCAGTTTATATACATTCATATTACAGTATTATGAGTTGCGACCCACTTGTGTCAATTTCTAGGTCCCAAATGTTAGCGATTAGCTCCTTTAAGTGAGATGAAGATTCTCCTCCCAATACCACATATGTGTGCTTCAGTTTTATTTGTGTGCCAGTTATTTTAGGTCATCCACAACCTTTGGTTAAGTCACCCACAGGATATTGTTTATGTTGTGTTGCCTAGTTAAAGGAGCTAAATCGCTAATATTTGGGACCTAGAAAGTGACCCAAATGGGTCGCAACGCATATAATAATGTTATCTGATTGTATATAAACAGATTTACATTCAATTGTTTCCATTTTGACTAATTTCAAATCAGTTATGTCCAGTGAAATTTGGCATGAGTCTCAACCAAATGGTAATTTCTAGCGTCTGGTTATTCCCGTCTATTGGGCATGCTCTCCAGATAAGATATGGCGTAACAGTTTGACATGAGTTGTAGAATATGTCTAGCCTCGTTCTTTCTGGTCACATGTTACAAATGGCGCTGAAATGCACTATGGTACACGATTCGTTACCAATGGTAAAATGTTTTTGTCATAAGCCTACCTTTTCCCGGTAAGATCACAACATCAATGTTGATTTGAATTGACAAATAATTTACAAGTGTTTTCAACGTGTAAGACTTTGGATGATATTGACTTAGAGACTTAGCTACTTTAACCTAATAATTGTTCCATTTACCCAATAATCAACAATCTTGATTGACTGACTGAACATTGCTGATGTTAGGTCACTGAGGATTTTGTAATAAAGTCGTCTCGTAATGTTACTAAGAGGGAAGGGATGATGAACCGAATTCATAAAACTGTGATGAGCATTAATCAGCGGTGCACAATTCCCATCCCCCGACGCCCGGGACAGGTTAATTTTTTTGTTGGACAGCTGAAATTTCGCATTCCGTCCGCCCGGGGACAGACAGATTTTCTCTGACAGAAATTCTTTGTGATCGAACAATACTTTGATTATTTAAAGCATTTTAGTTCCAGTCCACGCAATAATAATAGCCGAATAGACTAACTTCTGTCAGAATAATTTACTAAGCACACGATAGTTCTACCGGTAATACATAGCTTCCGGTACTAAAAATTACTTCTAAAATTAACGAGTATTATCGAATGACAACATTCCTTACCGAAGATACCGCAATTTTTTTTTCTGTGTATTTTGTGAAAATATGTCTTTTATTGTCATTCACGGCTTTTTATTGTTTAATGATAAATAAACAGCAATAAATACTGTTATTAACTCCCAAGTGTTCATTTCGCCAAGATTGGAAACGCCGTAATAATACGGCGTTTTTACATCAAATGTCTTCTCGCTCACTTTTCCACACAACCGGTGGTACTGTTAGAATAATCCCTGTTTCACGAATTATGTATGCCCTCACTTTGATTTTCCAAAGGAATCATTGATTTTCTGATTAAAATATACTTTGTAGGCAGAAATGTGAAAAATGCTAACTATATTGAGAGGTACCGGTAGACTGAATGACATTGTGTCATAGTGGTCCATAAATCGCATGATCCGAAAAAACACTATTTATTTGACATAGTTAATGGGCATTTTTTGAGACAGCACTCATATGTATTGTATAGTTTAATTGAGTATTCTTGTAATGTTTCCATACGACATATACGCTTGAATGAGAAAAAAACGAGTTTGCAAGGGTAAATTGAACCTGTAGCTATAAAAACGACCGATAGAACACAAACTTTTTTTGATATTTTTTCCTTTTTATCCCTCCGTTTATGGTTGTTGCTGTCTATTACAATTATAACATCCAATGCATTATTGCTGATAATATCGATAGGTGGAAACAGTATTGAAACATTTGGATGCTTAAATATTTGTTACTTTTGTTATTATTTTTATGTTTAGTCATTAAAATAAATTAAAAAAAAAACAACCTTATTTTTATATTCAGGGCAGGTGTATTTTTCTGTAGGGCTAGCAAATTTTGTCATGATACCTGTCCATGGGCTAGTGGTTCAAAAGTGAAATTGTGCACCCCTGCATTAATTTGAATTTAAAGCTGACAGCTGGCGTAATAAATTTCAAGCTATTTCCAACAATTCTATAAACATAAGCAATCATTCAATGATTTTCTTGCTGCAGGTCTGATACGCCTGAAAAGTTGACACAGTAGAGACTAGAAGTTGATGTCCGCAATCAGCATGCCTTGCATCATAAATTTTAATCTTATGTTTGCTTCGTCTTGAATAATTTGGGATACCTACCTGTATTGAAAATTCAGTGTATGTCAGTCACAACTATTCGATGTTGAAAGAAATTTGCACATTCTGACATCCTTGTAATATTGTATGTTGAAGAGGATTTTATAATCATGTGCTACAGTAAATCAATTTGTCGCTATTCCTGTTTATTATTAAATAGAGAATGAAAACTTGTTGAAACAAATTTGTATAAAAAAAATTTCTGGGATTAAGTACCGGTAAGTTTGTATAGCAATTCTTCTAAAGAGGTTGGGAAATCAAATTCAAATATTGTGACAATGAGAATTTGTCACTATTGATATCAGTTACATATTGTACAGTGGAAGTAAAATGGAATACTTAGTCAAAATATTAACTTATTCAAAAGATTGACAACAAAAATTAATTACTGAAATCTTAAAACAGATTATAGAGCTGTCATTAGATATGAAAGCATGGAAATAAATTATACAGCTGCCTTAAATATAAAACAAAGTTACATGCGGGGGACAACATATAGACGTTCAGATGGGATGAAAACTGAGGTCATGTGTGCATGTTCACGTAAAAGAACCCTCAAGGGGCCGTAGTGTCCCAGTCTGGACAAATATATCATAGGTGAACATATGTCGTAACTGGTAAACCACTTCTCTGCTTTTAATTTTGATGGCATAAGAGAGAGAAATGGGGTTTGACGTCCACTTGACACAACTAGGTCATTTCGGGACTAACATGGTTTAATTTTATTTCAATAATTCGCTTGTGCATAGGGGTCTTTAGCAGTGGGAGGAAACCGGAGGACCCAGAGAAGACCCACCAGGTTGGACAGACGACCCTACTCCTTGTCATGGCCTCGAAATGTTCATACCTGTCGCTTCAGTAAATAACCTGTCGCTCTCAATTATCAAACTCAAAGACTAATCACATCACACATATCCATACATGTAGGTAGACACACACATTTGTTTAGGTCTCGACATATATTGCTCCATATAAATATTGTAATATGAAACCTTTTTATTATACGCCCACGACAGGTTGCTTTTCTTCATACCTGTCACTCTCAATTATCAAACTCAAAGACTGATCACATCACACATACATATCCATACATGTAGGTAGACACAAACATTTGTTTAGGTCTCGACATATATTGCTCCATATAAATATTGTAATATGAAACCTTTTTATTATACGCCCACATAGAAATGTGGACGTATATTGCTGTCGCCCCATCCGTCCGTCGTCCACAATTTCTTGTGAATGCTCTAACGCCAAAAGTTATTATCCAGTTATTAAAATTGATATATGTTGTTTACATTAGTGAGATGAAGAAGCCTATTTAATTTCAATAATTTTCGTTGATAACGTCTAGAGTTATGGCCCCTGTTTCACTTTGTTGAACCTTGTGAACGCTCTAATGCCAAAAGTTAACATTCGATCTTTGTGAAATTTATATGCAATATTTAAATAAGGGAAACAAAATAGCCTATTGAATTTCAGCAATTTCCGTTTATTACTTCTAGAGTTATGGCCCTTGTTTCACCTTGTTTAACCTTGTGAAAGCTCTAACCCCAAAAGTTGTCATCCTATCTTTCTGAAATTTATATGCATTATTTAATTAGTGAAACAAAGAAGCCTATTTAATTTCAATAATTTCCGTTTATATTGTCTAGAGTCATGGCCCTTGTTTTACTTTGTTGAACCTTGTGAATGCTCTAATGCCAAAAGTTAACATCCAATCAAATTTATATGCAATATTTAAATTAGGGAAACGAAGAATCCTATTGAATTTCAGTAATTTCCGTTTATTACTTCTAGAGTTATGGCCCTTGTTTCACTTTGTTTAATTTAAGAACGCTTTAACCCCAAAAGTTATCCTATCTTTCTGAAATTTATATACATTATTTAAATTAATGAAACGAAGAAGCCTATTGAATTTCAGCAATTTCTGTGTATTACATCTAGAGTTCTGGCCCTTATTTCACTTTATTGAACCTTGTGAACGCTCTAATGCCAAAATTTATCATCCGATCTTTCTGAAGTTTATATGCATTATTTAAATAAGTGAAACAAAGAAGCTTATTGAATTTTTAGCAATTTCTGTTTATTAGTCTAGAGTTATGGCCCTTGTTTCACTTTATTTAACTTAGTGAATGCTCTAACGCTTATTGAATTTTAGCAATTTCTGTTTATTAGTCTAGAGTTGTGGCCCTTGTTTCACTTTATTGAACTTTGTGAATGCTCTAACATCAAAAGTTATATGCCGATCTCTATGAAATTTACATGCGTAATTTAAATTAGTAAAGAGAAGAATCCTATTGAATTTCAGCAATTTCCATTTATTACTTCTAGAGTTATGGCCCTTGTTTCAATTTGTTCAACATTGTTAATGCTCGATTGATGAAAGTTATCATCCGATATGTATGAAATTTATATGCATCATTTAAATTTGTGAAACGAAAATTCCTCCCACTGCTAAAAAGACCCCTCCGCGTAAGCGAATTATTGAAATAAAATTGAACCATGTGTTAGTCACGAAATGACCTAGTTTGTGTCGAGTGGATGTTAAATCCCATCTCTCAATCTCTCTCTCTCTCTCTCTGTGAAATGTCAAATTCCAACAATTTCTGTAGATTATTTCCAGAGTGGAGACCCTTGTTTCAATTTGTAGAACCTTGTGAACCCTCAAACGGCAAAAATTATAATCTGATCTGTATGGAACTGTCTTGTAAAGGTCCCCAATTACCTACAAAGGAATAAATATGTGACAACCCTTGTCGACCGCTCAGACGATTTAGCTGCTGTGGGCGTATGTTTCGTTACCTGGCAACCAGTGTCCGAAACAAACAAACGTGTGACACGTGATCATGTGGGTCCTTCAGGTGACACGCAGGCCTAACCAATAATAATAATATTTATAGTTTCCAAGCGAAGCGCAGAACGATCAGAATAAAGGAAGTACATATACACCACAGAAGGACTAAGGGTTTAGTAACTTAATTTCATTTCAATTTAATGGAAACAAATCTATTCATGGCTACATAATTAACGGTTTTTCTCATCAAACTAGGTCAACTTCAAACGGTTACACAAAAAAACCTTGACGTCTGGCGATAACGTTGAGGAATGGCATAAACTCGCTTATTTCGCCCTAGATTGTTAGCACAATAGCCCAGAATTGAGTCAAATGAGGTCCCGTAGGAAATGGTTTTAAAATTATAAGCTTCCATTACCTTTATAATAGTAGGCCTACAGCTACACCGTTCGGAAAATTTTCGTGTCAGTAATATTCCTGAATAAATTACTGTCTTCGTTTTTTGGATGGATTTAAAATGATACAGTACGGGGGTATTTTTCATAACACAATTTGTAGTTTTTGTCTATCACATAACTTGCAAATATGTTTTTTTTTTCATTCGTCCATGAGAGACACACGGCACAGTGATCACGTGACAGCCATAATTGAAATTACTTTAAAATAAAATATTCCGTACGACTGCCATATAGTTTTCAATAATAATAACGACAATATGTTTAAAATTTAGCCTCTGCCAGCATGTGTATCAAATAAAAAATCATAACGGTAAGCGTTATCTAAAACTAAATCTAGCATCGCTGGCTTATTGGCCTAGAAATTCCAACTGATGTCACGTGTCATCGACGGATTTGGCATCAAAGATTTTGTCGGAAAAATATATTATTAATGACTTCTGAGGATTATATTCAACTAAGATTTGAATTTCTGTAACAACTGGTCAGCCGAACCATTAAATGCATGCAGGAGTCCTCCGATAAATCAGTCGGCCTCGGGCCTACGGACCGACGTTTGTGTCGAACACTGCTGGCAACCTATCTTTTCTTCGATATCGGAATGCCTAAAAGTTCTTGAAAGTCGGCGAATCTGCTTTGGCTCAGCGACTTGTACAATTCTATCATCCGTATCCACGTGAATTCCGCACATTAAAATGGTACCACACTTCCATATTAAATCGAATACTTCGCCGTTTAGTTGTAGAATTCAGATTTAAAATTATCCGTAATAAATTGAATATCAAAACATAAATCACACCTGTGCATGGCACCGTATTTACATGTACCGCATGCGAAGGACAGACAACGCCACCTGGAATTCCCTTTTCACATATCCAGACTATATTTACGCTACAAATTATATTTATAAATATATGAAATATTTTTCCGACCTGATTATTTGATTTTGTCAAATTGTCTTATAAATTATTCATGGCCTTTATTTATGGAAATTGTTTAAAAGTAAATACACCAAGCAACGAGCCGTGTGCATTTCCATTCCAACCACCACTATATTTACTGTGGTGTCGTTACGGTAGAATTATTTCTGGTGACTTGGGGGTGTGTTTTAATTTATTTAAATATAATACACCACAATGCTATAAACTAGTGTGGTGAAGCAGATGAAAACAAGCGTAGATGGGGTGAAATTCATTGTTATAAAATTGTGTACTTCCAAACTGTGTGAGTAACTGTAGCCTACAACAGAGCGAAATGTCAACAGTGCAAATGGCGACTTTTCGCGGTATTTCCATGCTTAATTCTTGCATTTAGAAATGAATTATTAAATGTAAGTGACATGGACGTGAGTATTGTGGTCAGTTTAATAAACATCAAGTAAAATTTAGTCCACCTGTCGCAAGCGACGGGTAGTTTTATTTGCTACCTGTCAGACGAACATTTCGAGCCATGTGTACAACCGGGGATTCGAAACCACGTCGGTTGACTCAATGACAGACTTTATGATATAGCGCGCACGGTAACCATTCAGCCATCCAACCACCCCTGATGGCACAAGAAAAGGTAAAATTAAGTTAAATGTACCCACAATAGTTTTCATCCTTCAATGAGTTTACCAGTTAGGATCACTTATTGGAGTACATGTCCTATCTGACCGGACGATGTCCGCTGATCGACCCTATCCATCCCTATATAATAGCTGCAGTATGAAAATGACACTCTTCCCCACCTCTGTTCTAAGGCTATTTTGGAATCCTTGCGGTCTATTTTTCGCCAAAAAGAATCATTTGTATTTGTATTTCAGACATTTCATCATGGGAGATGCTGCTGATGTAACGTTTGAAAAGGCTGAATCCGGTGCATCTTTGACTTTTCCCAAGCAATGCTCTGCTCTTCGTAAAAATGAATATTGCCTCATCAAAGGAAAACCCGTTAAGATTGTTGAAATGACCACCTCGAAAACAGGAAAACACGGACATGCTAAGGTTGGTACACATTAGAGATGGATCAATATAGGTGTTATCAGTAAAACTGATATCAGTTACTTTAAGTGACATTATCAGCTTGTGCAAGTACCGATAATTTGTACAATATAGTTAAATATAATGTAAGAGCTAAATTTGCCTATTACAGATTGTTATTTTGTCTTATCTAGAGTATTTAAACATTTATTCACAGGGCTAGCGCTTTTGTCAACTCTCTTGACAATCGGATGGCACAGATGTAAACCAGGACCCGCTCTGGGAAAACATGTCCATTAGCCAAATGTACAAAGTGTTGGCCAAATATCAAGCATATGCCTATTACCCCAAAAATATAATGCAATTATTGCAAGGTTCACACCCTCCTTGAAAATTCTGGAAAAATGAACATGTGATTTCATTCTGGCAATACAAGATTACTCCTTGAAACTCCTAGAAAATTAACATTTGTGGTTTTTGCTATATATTTTAAGATATACAGTACCTCTCAAATTTTTCAGACCAGAATTGCGCGAACACCACGAAAAAAAACCAGTAAGAAATCGCTAAGATTTCACAGTGAATCTCCGTCCGCTCAAGGTTTTCCCTCTTTCCTATTTTCCGATAGCCGTGAATTTTCTTCATTTACGGCATTTGTAAGTTTTACTTTCCTACATACAAAGGAGACAACTTAAAACATTCCACTGAATAAATGCATATCAAATAAGTCCCCTAATGTGTAGAATATATATTACATGTGACATGGTAATCCCTTGGGCCTCGATGACATTGAAACTGTTCAATGGAGTTTGTGCTGACCGTTAATTTAAAAGCTATAATACTAACAGTTTAGACCTGTCACAAAGTCCTCCTGTATAAAAATTTATCAAAAGTGAATAAATTTGTTAATAAGGTAACTGATATTTCTATTGGCGTAACCAGGAAATCGGTCGCATGTTTCTGTGCTGGTGCGACCGCACATAACCGATTGTTATCTTTAGCGTGAAATTTTGTGGCCTGCTTACTTGCTTCTCGATAAAATTGTTAAAATTTTAGCCAAGTTGGATTTCTGTTGGCCAGATGTATGGAATTTTCGCGAGTGGCCAGAGCAGCTCCTTGTAAACAATTCTGTCGGATAGCAAATCAGTTCGCACCCTCTCATTAGCCGTTAGCGAATAAAAGCACAGACTAATCATTCTTGGCATCAGCATTAGCGAACAACAGGATAAGATCAATCAAATGTTAGGCCACGGTTAATTGTCTGTTTCTCATGATCCTGAGTTTTTGAAAGCTACACCTACTTATGGAGAGTGTTGAATCTTGAGTTTGACTACCAGGTGCTATAGACTAAGTATAGATACATGTAATCAGTTTGATTGCTTGATACATTTCAAAAAGATGAATGTGTACCGGTAATCTATTTTGGGATTGCCACGAGGGACATCAGCCTCACTGTTGGCTTGTTCCTCTCTTGACATAAAGTCAACAGGTTTTGTGATGGAACGATCGGGTAAGATGAAGATGAAGCCTATTGATTTTCAGCACATATCATGAGAGGACAAATTTTAACAAATGTTTTTGAAATCTGGTGTGAATCATTTGTTTCATCAAAGGTTAAAATCCTGTGATATTCAGAATGTAATTAGTATATTTTATTTTTAGGTTCATCTAACAGGGATTGATGTATTTACTAATAAAAAGTATGAAGATATTTGTCCTTCTACCCATAATGTTGAAGTACCAAATGTAAAACGAACTGAATACCAGGTGAGACTAGTGGATGGGTTGTCAAAAATTGGTGTTTGAAAAAAGCTTTTGAAGTGCATTTTGTAGATTGTCTGTCATCATTGCTTGTGGACAATCTAAGTGGTTGAACCTATCGTTGGATTCTTGTGAGAGTTATACAAGTGTTTATGTTCATGAAATGCTAAAGGTATAATCAATTTATGGGGGGGGGGGGGTGTTGGATGGCCGAACCACGGTTTAAAAGTATTTGGTCGTCATTGTTAACTACACTATTGTGAAAATGAAATCATTAAAGAGCATATCTGCCCAAAAATGGTCCACTTCTCTTCAGTATTTAAAAACATATGATGAATTGAAAACAATTTGTCAACATTCGACGTCTTCTACATACGGAGGGTGGGGGGTGGATGGCCGAATGGTTAGCACGTGCTAAGTTATCATCCAATTGTGTTAAAATTGATATATGTTGTTTACATTAGTGAGATGAAGAAGCCTATTGAATTTCAATAATTTCTGTATATTATGTCTAGAGTTATGGCCCTTGTTTCACTTTGTTGAACCTTGTGAACGTTCTAATGCCAAAAGTTAACATACGATCTTTGTGAAATTTATATGCAATATTTAAGTTAGTGAAACGAAGAAGCCTATTGAATTTCAACAATTTCTGTTTATTACGTCTAGAGTTATGGCCCTTGTTTCACTTTATTGAACCTTGTGAACGCTCTAACTCCAAAAGTTATCGTCCGATCTTTCTGAGATTTACATGCATTATTTAAATTAGTGAAACGAAGAAGCCTATTGAATTTCAGCAATTTCTGTTTATTACGTTTAGAGTTATGGTCCTTGTTTCACTTTATTGAACCTTGTGAACGCTCTAACGCCAAAAGTTATCATCCGATCTTTCTGAAATTTATATGCATTATTTAGATTACTGAAACAAAGAATCCTATTGAATTTCGGCAATTTACGTTTATATTGTCTAGAGTTATGGCCCTTGTTTCACTTTATTGATCCTTGTGAAGGCTCTCACGTCAAAAGTTATCATCCGATCTTTCTGAAATTTATATGCATTATTTAGGTTACTGAAACGAAGAAGCCTATTGAATTTCAACAATTTCCGTTTATTATGTCTAGAGTTACAGTACGGAGATCGTGAAAGTTTGACCAAACACGATATTACCGTGTCTTCTATCGTGGAATTCCATGATTTACCGAGTGAATATCGAGTGACACGATAGCACTGCCTCAGTGTGCTTTAATTAAAACATGCCTCTCGTCGTTTATTTTACGTGAAATACATGTAGCACTTTAATTATTATAGATCAGTTACTACGTTGGCATTTTTCCATTAATCCTGAATATTTGACGGCTAGTTCGAAATCGGAACAGGAATAAACACATTTTTCGGGAAACCCTGGGTCGGGTACTATGCCTAAAGATACCAATACGTTATTATTTCATTAATATGTTCCATATTTTTTAATACTTGCGTCAATCGACTATTACAAATTCATTCATATTACGGAAAAATGATAAAATGCGCACAAATCGTTTTGGTCTTACCGGAGTGTAGTTTTATCCATCCAAATAGTAATTCACATAATACTGACAAATAAGTCACACGGTGCATACATTATTGGTAAATCACACCTCAACTAATATATCTTTTCTGGATTAAATCACAAATGAATTAAAAGTCTTCGTCACCTCATATGAAGCATGTTTTCATAACCGCACCAATGAGTCTGGGGAATGCATACTGTCAATCAAGGATTCGTAAGAAACCAGCTGACAGAAAATAGACGCCCATTTTACAACAAATTGTTACCCTGTTGTAGTCGTCTTGACAGTACGACTTGCATTGTTAATTGTCAGTAGTAAAAATTACCAAAAAAGGTTTGACATCTTTATTAAAAAACCCAATCACAATTGTTAATATGATTCTGATATGCAAATGGTTGGCATTCAAGAAGGGTCACAATGGTTTATTCTGTGCATGTCAATCAATTTGGGCGTTTCGGTTAAAATTAAACGTAAGGAAATTTTCAACAATTAGCAGAATGTTAAAATAAAGAAAACAACCTAACACTTACAATATGACTAAGTACGAAGTTATTCGTCGACGTTTCACAGGGTTGTTTGTATTTGGCTGGACACCCCTGCCCCATCCCTCCATTTAATACTAATATGTAACTAGAAATTGTGATTACTGTTTTACGTTGAAAATCGATAATTATGGTCTATTGCATGAATACGGTCAGCTGTTTGTTTGTCGCATTCATATATTGAACGGTTGTCAGTAAACTAGTCAACAAGCAAACACGTTCGCGGTTAAGTCGTCTACAGGGGGGGGGGGGGGTATTGGTTATGTCGTCCACATCTAATATTTAATAATTTTATTGTATGGAGTAAATCAGTTGTTTATATTGTTTTATTTACCCAATTATCAATTATCTTGAATGTCAACTGCGAATATGATGATTAAGTATTCTTTTCACACAGTGCATACGCCAACCTTTCTGTACCGATTCAAAAATTGAATTATCTCTTATATCCACATTTTTTAAATCTGGAGTTTTATCGTAAAAAAATCAATAGAATCCTTTGTAACCTACTGGTAATACATGATGTATATTTTAGGGGGTGGGGTGTGCTATCATAGTAGTCCGTTCGTAATATACCCATGACAACAGCATCTATTTTGTGTGAAAATCCAGATTGGTCGCGTCCCAATTGTAATTGTTCATTAATAATGAGGTCAACTATTTTGGATAATGATTACTTACCGTACTGACAATTCAGAATAAAAATATTGTCTACAAGAATACGACATGGTAACAATTTGTTGTTAAAGGGGCTTCTATTTTAGTCAATTATCAATTCCTTTTGATGGCACGTGTGAATTCACGTAATTAATTAGGAATCTTACCTGACAGTATGCATTGACTCGGACTCTTTGGTGCCGAAATGAAAAGGCATGTGTAAATACAACTCAACTCTCGCGTCATGTTTTTATTACTAATCCATAACAATTAATTGCGTGTTTATTTAATAATTAACAATAAAGTACATGGTTATTTAACAATAAGTACTGTTTAACAGTTTATTCGACAATAAGTACAACTCAGTTAATTAACTGCAACATGTATTATAATAACAAGGGGGATGAAACAGCCCAATAGAAAATTAGGTTGGGATGAAACAGCCTGACATGTGTTCAGCAAGGTTGACGGTGAATTCTGGCTATGTGTGCTTAAAACAGGACATGAAGGCATTTAATTCATTTGTGATTTAAACCCGAAGATATATTACTTGTTCAGGTGTGATTTATCAATTTAAAATGCATTGTGTGACTTATTTGTCAGAATGGAAATGGCTATTTTGATGGACAAAACATTCGCCTATGTTAAGACCAGCATCTATGTGTGTAAATTTTGAAATTTTCGTAACTTGAATGAGTTTAAAATAGTCGATAGTCTTAAAAATGTCGAACATATTGATGAAGTAATGTATCGGTACAGCCATAATTCTGTTTATTTTATTATTTAAAAGCCTGTTTGATTGTAACATCGTGGTAGTATATCTTTTTGACATCAATTGTTTATGACTGATAAATATCGTTAATTTTAGATATCAAATTACACGGAAGCCTATCGTGTCACGCGTCTATCTGGACTATCGTGGTACACGATAGCGACTGCTACACCGAGTTATTTATCGTGGCAATTTTCAACAAAAATCGACACAATAATCGTGTTTGGTCACGATCTCCGTACTGTATGGCCCTTGTTACACTTAATTGATCCTTGTGAACGCTCTAACATCAAAAGGTATCATTCGATCTTTCTGAAAATTATATGCATAATTTAAATTAGTGAGACAAAGAATCCTATTGAATTTCAGCAATTTCCGTTTATTACGTCTAGAGTTATGGCCCTTGTGAACGCTATAACTCCAAAAGTTATCATCCAATCTTTCTGAAATTTACATGCATTATTTAAATAGGTGAAACAAAGAAGCCTATTGAATTTCAGCAATTTCCGTTTATTATGTCTAGAGTTATACTTACTTCTAGAGTTATTGCCCTTGTTGCACTTTGTTAAACCTTGTTAATGCTCGATTGATGATAGTTATCATCCGATATGTATGAAATTTATATGCATCATTTAAATTTGTGAAACAGATTGATGAATTTCAGCAATTTTGCAATAATTTCTAGAGTTATGGCGATTGTGAACATTTGAATGACAAAAGTAATCATGTGATCTGTATGAAATTTATATGCATTATTTAAATTAGTCAAACGAAAAAGCCTGTCAAATTTCAACAATTTCTGTAGATTACTACCAGAGTTTCAGTTTGTAGAACCTTGTAAACCCTCAAACGACAAAATTTATAATCTGATCTGTATGGAACTGTCTTGTAAAGGCCCCCAATTTTATGTAATTGGCACTCAGTTGTATGTAAAAAAAATTGCAAAAGCAATTAAATTAAAATCCATCGAAAAATGAAATAGACACAATTTATGTTTATATAATGACATGCAAAGCGGGGCGATGCGAACAACTTCCGGACCACCACAATTTGTGGCCCTATCTTGCCTGGCACCACTTGTGTATTTTCTCCTGGTTAATCAGTGGTTCATCTTGTTATTTTGGGATTGAGAACATATACTGTAAAGTAGACAATTTATTTTCCAGTTAGTTGATATCATGGATGAAAATTTTGTATCCCTGATGGACGATAGTGGTGAACTTCATGAAAATCTTAAACTACCAGATGGAGAGCTTGGCCAAGCTATTCAAAAATCTTTCGATCAAGGGGAAAATCTTATGGTAAGTATAAACTAGACATTAACTCACTATACTTGTATTCAAATACAAATCTTGAATATATTTCAACTTCTAGTTGGCTATCAACATTGGCATTATAGGATTGAAATGACAGTTCATTAAAGATACTGCTTTTGATTTTCAATTAATGACTGTACATATACCTAATCTATCAGAGCACCACATGTTTTGGAGATAACTCACAGTATAGCTTACATATCAATTTGTTAAATTCAAAATGTTGGAAAGTGATTTGAACAAGGACATTACCAGGGACATCCAGATTTGTTATCCTGCCAGAACTAAGTTCAGGATCAATGTCCGGATTTTATTTCTGGAGCATAAGAAACTTTGTACATGCATCAACCTTATATAGTACATATGTAGTTGTGCCTTTGGCTAATTAGAAATATCTTGGTTGACATGTGAGTACAAGAATGATTGACACTGTGCGAGGAGGTTATAAAAAAAATTATGAATATCCAAACTTTACAGTTTCGGACGATAATATTTTTCTTTAATGTTTCAGGTCACTGTATTGTCAGCTATGGGAGAAGACATGATATGCAGTCACAAGAAAGTTGCTGATTAATTAATTTAGTATTTTTATTAATTAATCAGTCTGCTTTCCACCATCTTAATAAATAATCTTTGTAAAATATTTAAAGATACCCTAGAGAGAGAAAGATAATATTCGGTGATTGACAAACTTTTTAATTTCCAAATCGTTTATAAATTGTTATCGATCGTGTTGTGCTAATTGGAAAAAAAATGAAGATCCATGAGAATGAATTGCAAAATGTAAAATATTATTTTAAAAAATGCTTCATTTGGTGTTAAAACCATTCAGTGCTGTTATAAAGACATTATGTATGACTATTGGTGTCATTCTTGTACCATTGAAGGGTTGCATATTAAAATGCATATTGATATAAAAGAATTAATTTGCTACATGGCATGTTAATTGATTAAAAATATTAAAAAAAAAAATATTCCATATGTGTCAGGATTTCTCTTAAACAACCTACGTACATAAACTTTTACAACTGTTGTCTGTATTTTTATGAAGTTGAAATCGTGTACATATATTCGGTTTTGAAGATGCACCAGGATTTCCACTATTTGTCACACGCTATAAATAAGAGTTCATGTGCATGGCATGATTTCATTAACTCTTAGAAATAGATCTTTGTATATATATATATAACCGTCTATTCACAGCTCTCAATTCAAAATTTTCTGAACTTGCTTGTAATAGGCTCCATAAAAATAACTAAAATGTATGACACTCCTCGTCCTCGGTTCAAAAAAAACATTCATTTGAAATCCTAATATTTCTGACATATAAATTGACTGATCATTTATTTTCTTGATTGGTCATTTTTGTTGTCAGTGAGTTACTCATGACTGTAAGATGTTGACTTAAATGAGAGCTGTAATTCGATCTATACAAATTCTAAATGTTTAAAGTGCTGTTGATCTTTAAAAGTGTTTTATTGTTTTATTCAACTTTATATGTTATGAATACTTGTTTTGAGTTTTTCTTACGGTTATATGGACATTTATTTTTCTGTTCGGTTCAGGTTTCTATTTGGAATGGTATTGTGCAAAATGTTTATTTCGCTCATAGTAATTGCATAGTTTTATAATTTATCGGAAAATTTAAATACTCTCTTTATTTTATATACAGTTGTAGCTCGAATCTGATTATTAATTTCATTTGATTATCATGCATACTGCTCAGTTCTACATATGGAATAAACTATAGGAAGTTTTCTTTTTTTAAATTCAAATATTACAATATTTTGGAAAAGTTGCTCGAATTTTAACTTTGGCAATATTTTTGGATCAATCTTCTCAAATTTTAATATTCTAATAATTTGGAATTAACTGTGATCAGTTTAAGTTCAAATATTATGAAATTAATTAGAAGTTAAATTTCAAATGTATTGTAATTTTTGAAGTTAATTCTGTAAAGTTTTCTGATATATAAATATTTGAAATGACTTGATATATTCAATTATTGCTAGTTTTTGCTTTCAGACCATTGTATTCATATTTCTGTATCTTCTAGTGTTCTGTTTAAATATCATGCTGAATAATATACAACCAGATTACACATCAAATATGGTGGTGTTTATTTCTGTTCCGCTCCTTTCGAAGAGAGCAGGGGACTGTTAAAATGGATTCATCTGTCTTGCCCATATTTTGGGAAACAAAAACTTTGCTTCTAATGGAGTTAGTGTCAATTAAGGAGTATGGAACTTGATTGGTTGAGGCTTTGGGACACAATAGCCTTGACTAATTGAGGGTAGTGTAGTTTCTCAACATCTGTACTTTGACTGAATACTGAGTGAAAATATCTTGAAAATTTAAGTCTAGGAGCTAGCAAAGATTTAATCAACATCCAAAAATGAAACTATTAGTGATGCGTTTGGTTAAACCACAAGGGGTGCACTGTTAAAATTGGGGCCAATTTTGGTTTTATAGCGGTTCTCCTCAAGAACTTTCGCAACACCTACATGTATCAAAATGTTCTATATATTATAAATCCTGAGTGTCCCATATGCAATACAGAGGCATGCCCAGTGTCAAATGAGGTCAAAGGCCACCATTGGTCAGCCATGCCCAATCCACCTTAAGCCAAATCCACCTTAAACGCACATCTCAGTACATTCTCAAAAAAATGGGACCTGCTGTGGCAATAGGAATCCTTCAGGATTAACCGCTTCTGAGAGGTCACCATTGATTCGCCAGACACAATCGACCTGCAATGATCCTCTCAACTGTTCCTGGGGACTCTATCTATGTGAATCCTTTGGGGGTGTCAATTTACATGATTACACACCTGGTTAGTCAAAGATCGTCTTGGTTCAAAACAGTCCAATCCAATTTAAAAACCGTCTTCATTAGCCCAGTTCGGAGCAAAACAGGACGTTAAACCCCATTTCATTTCCAATTTGAAAATATAAATCCGGAGTGATCAGTTAAGTACATGCGACATCATCCCGATATTGTGAATATGGTATGAATGCAAGTCCTGAGTTCTCGGCACACGGCTTCGCCAACCGTAATGGGTTTGTTTTCGGGCATCTCCTTTCCCTCTTACTCTCACACTGATCATAAGTGAATACTGTATTCGCTAGGCCGCTACAGTCACTAAGAGGGATGGCATCGATGCGGCTTAATGAACTCGCGGTATTAATTTCTTTTTTTTTCCATCTGAAAATTAAATTCTAAAACATTTTTTTATACGCCCACATTGAAATGTGGTCGTATATTGTTGTCGGTCCGTGGTCCACAATTGCTTGTGGACGCTCTAGAGGCTAAAGTTAATATCTGATTGACTTTAAATTTATACACAGTGTTTAAGGTCTTGAGACGAAGAAGCCTATTGATTTTCAGCGATTTCCGATAATTATTGCCAGAGTTATGGCCCTTGATCACTTTTAAAAGTCGTGCGGACGCTCTAGAGGCCAAAGTTAATATCCAATTGACCTTAAATTTATGCACAGTGTTTGAGGTCACGAGACGAAGAAGCCTATTGATTTTCAACGATTTCCGATAATTACTGCCAGAGTTATGGCCCTTGATCACTTCAAAAAATCTTGTGATGCTCTAAAGGCTAAAGTTATAATCCGATTGACTTCAGATTGATACACAGAGTTTAAGATCTTGAGACGAACAAGTATATTGATTTTCAATGAGTTTTTATGACTTAAACAGTTAAATCCATGATATTAAAAGCTTTGCATACAAAACGTTAGCATGGGGCAGAACTTTATAAAAACCAAACAAATTCTAATAGTTTTCTGATAATTACTTCGTGAGTTGTTGCTCTTAATCAGATTTTAGTGTATTATAAATGTTTCATTATCGAAAAAAGTAAAAATATGCGACAGCCCTTGTTGACTGCCCGGACGATTTAGTTGCTGTGGGCGTATGTTTCGTTGCCTGGCAACCTATCTTTTTGAAGTATTAGAAAATAAAGGTGTTTGTAGTGTATATCTAGATAAAAATATTTCCTATTTAGTGTAAATGGGTATATATAAGGCGTGAAAGCCACCATTCTGTCCGGATCTTATGTAAACAAAGCACGAACCATAAAAGAATGTAGTTGTCCATTAGGCGAATGCCTTGATGGAGTTCGAAGATGAGAATTTTCTGCTTGGGGTAAGCAGAGATAAGCAATATGATTGGTTGATGCTTTGGGACACGATAACTTTAGTTCTAATTAAAGGACAATATTGGTGCCAGTCATTATCACATATATGATGGAGCTGGTTAAACACATTCCAAATATAATTTTTAACACAGAGATCTTTGCTACGATAGCTGAGTAATACAGGTTTCCTGAATCGGAAGTGACGACCACCAAAGGAAAACACGAGTCATACCTCTATATAACTGACTGATGTGACGAGTGATTTAACAGATACACGGCCGAATTTCTGCTCACTAATAATTCCTTCCAAGACCAAAAATTGTGTGTGAGACTGTGAGAGGATATCTGACAATTCATAAAAAGAATTGACTGCCACTAGATAAGAACACGAAAGAAAAACAGAAAAAGTCCGTGCATTACCATGTTTTTATAAGGTATAGAATGAATATAAACAAGGGAATGTACGGACTATTTCTATTTTTCTCGTGTTCTCTTATCTAATGACATTCAATTACTTTATTTAATTGTCAGTGATGTGACGAGTGATTTAACAGATACACGGCCGAATTTCTGCTCACTAATAATTCCTTCCAAGACCAAAAGTTGTTCTGTGAGAGGATATCTGACAATTCATAAAAAGAATTGACTGCCACTAGATAAGAACACGAAAGAAAAACAGAAAAAGTCCGTGCATTACCATGTTTTTATAAGGTATAGAATGAATATAAACAAGGGAATGTACGGACTATTTCTATTTTTCTCGTGTTCTCTTATCTAATGACATTCAATTACTTTATTTAATTGTCAGGTATCCTCTTACAGTCCCATATAACAACTGTTCAACGCCGGATTAACCATGGGGCCCCCACAAAAATCACAGTTGCGCGCCTCGAGCATGGTCGGACCGAGGACTCCAACGGCCGGTGACCTAGTGACGGAAGTCCCTGGGACCACATTCCCCAACGTTGAAGCAATATTGAGAATATATCTGTGTATGATGATATCTAATTGTTCTGGGGAGAGATCTTTCTCCAAATTCAAAATTATCTCCGGTCTACGATGGGTCAGGATAGGCTAGTGTATTTGGTTCGGCTGGCCTCTGAAAGCGATATCCTGCGCACCATCAATGCCGAAAAAAAGAGGAGTGTTCATCCATTGATCATTATCATTCAGCTCTAACTCTGCGTAACTTGACCCCGTATAACGCGAATTATCGCTAACTCGAACAAAATTCGTTGAACGAATATTTTCTTTCGTTTTCCTTTTATAAAACATCGAATAACTCGGAAACTGTAACTCGAATTATCGTATAGCTCGAACCAAATTTCCGGTACAATCCTTATCAAAGTCTTATATTTACATCGCCTAACTCGAACTGTAAATAATGGATCTTGCGGGCGAGTGTGCTGAGCGACTTCAAAATTAGGTTTGATGTAGCTCTGCTCACTTACAGTGGAGGATTTAACGGGCTCAATGGGCTCCAGCCCCCTCCTCTAGAAATTCCATCATTTCATAGTACTCGCTAATTTTGTGGCAGAATTTTATTTTTTTCTGGGGGAGGTACTTCTAAATGGCTCCGACACAAGTGCCTGAAATGCCAGGAAATCACGTTTCCGGCCTCCAATTTCTGAAAATTTCAAAGGGGGGGAGAACCCCCCCCCCCGACCCCCCTTGCGGGGCTTCGCGTCTTCGGCGCTCGCGGTGGCCGTTTTTGCCGGCCACAGTTCCGCGGTCGGTGATCAGGGGCCCCCCACATGTTCCAGGCCCCAGGGCCCCCACCATGGTTAATCCAGCGTTTCAACTGTTGGTCTTGGAAGGAATTATTAGGGAGCAGAAATTCGGCCGTGTATCTGTTATCACCCGTCACATCAGTCAGTTATATATAGAGATGGCTCGTGTTTTCCTTTGGCGTTCGTCACTTCCGATTCAGGAAACCTGTATTACTCAGCTATCGTAGCAATGATCTCTGTGTTAAAATTATATTTGGAATGTGTTTAACCAGCTCTATCACATATGTGATAATGACTGGCACCAATATTGTCTTTTAAGTGAGAGTGATGAAACTTGGTGTATAGTTTCATTAAACCAATGAAGTTCGATAATGAGCATTTTCTGCTCAGTGTAAGCCGAGCGATAAGCAATTTGATTGATCGAGACTTTGGAACACAATAACTCTCATTCTAATTGAGTTAGAATGTTCACACTTGGTGTAGGTGTCTATTAGGCGAATGCCTTGATAGAGTTCGAAGATGAGAATTTTCTGCTTAGGGTAAGTGGAAATAAGCAATTTGATTGGTTGATGCTTTGGGACACGATAACTTTAGTTCTAATTAAGTGAGAGTGGTGAGACGTGGTGTATAGTTTCATTACATCAATACCTTGACTAAGTTCGATAATGAACATTTTCTGCTCAGGGTAAGCAGAGCGATAAGAAATTTGATTGACCGAGACTTTTAACACAATAACTCTCCTTCTAATTGAGGTAGAATGTTCAAACTCTGTGTAGGCGTTCATTAGGTGAATGCCCTGAATCTAAGCAGAGCTAATCAATTTCATTGGTCGATGTTTTGGGACAAGATAATCTTGATTCTATCTGATAGAGTCATGAAAATCAGTGTATAGTTTGATTGCTCGATACTTTTGAAAAAAATAAATGTGCGATTAATTAATATGTGTCATCTATTATATTTATTTTGGGATTTCGACGGGGGACATGAGCCTTACTGCTGGCTTGTTTAGTTTGAGTCCCTTTATGTGCCTATGACTAGTCTGTGTCTACGGTTGTATGCCGTCTATCCATGTTCTTTCCGGCAAATGCTTACTAGCCCGCGTGTGCACTAGTCCGTGGGTTTACTAAGCCAGGTTCACTAGTCCGCCGGTGTCTAATATTGTCAATTTTACGATTGATGATTACATGTAAATGCACACCTGTAACGAACTCTGACAATAATACTAACGCAT